AGGTCAATAAATTGTTGTATTTGTAATTATGTTTAGAACAGTGTACTTGTAACGTTAAAACAAATGTTGTTGTCGTTCTTATGTTGTAACTATTGATAAGTTATTAGTAGGTCATTAATTTGTTGTAATTGTTGTAACGTTAAAACTAAAAATAAACTAATAATCAAATCCAACATTAATTTACATATACAAAAATATAATCCAACTACATAGGACCAAGACTCGACCCCCAATAAATTTTTGCCATCCGTTGGCGAAACTCTAAAGCTGCGTTCTTTGGGTCAATAAGTTCACGTATTGGTTGACCTGAAACTAATTGCTCCATAAACATACAAACAAAAACATCGCAATCTCCCAAATGACTACTTTGTTGGGGAACATTTTCTTCATAAATGAATTGCATATTCAATGGAATCCTTGGGATGTTCCTTCGGGCCCAATAGTTAATCTTGTCCAAATAATTTACCACCCGAGATTCAAATTTGGTAAAGGTTCCATCAGATTTGAATTTTTCATAAGCCACTCTATCGAGACTGTCATAAATATGGACTTCCATTGACGCCAATCGTAGTTCCCCAAATAGCCAGTGATTAGGGGATGAATGAATCGGCAATAGGGCCTGTATAAGGATCAGAAAATAAAATTATGTTTTTTATATCACAATACAAAAACATAACGACAATAACGATAATATTTTCAATATAAAAAATTAAGTTTACCGTATCGACATCCCACCAAGCAACCATGAAGTTGGGGTACGTAGCAATACCAGCCATAAACGCCCTCCAATCCTGCCCTTCTTCCAAAGCATGGCAAACAAAAAAATTTGGAGGCATTATTGTATGTCGGTCGCCCTCAAACCGTCTCTCCATCAATAGTCTATACCAAATGGTTATATGCCGCACAAAATTATGATACTTTTGTTATTGACTAAAAAACAAATTACTTTTAAAATAATAAATTAACAATTATTTTACCGATGACTCCAACCATCCGTCGTGTGTATGCCCAAACAAGGTGTTCCAAAAATCTCTATCTAACACGAAATTAAACAAATGATGCTGGACATCATATGAATGAAATAAATAATTGTGGATGACAACCTCACCGCCTGCTACGTAAGGTTGCAGGCGCAACACGGAGAAGTCGTGAGCAACAACAAAAGCTGGAGGAGGAACGGGGCTTGTTGATTTGATATCAACCTTCTTTTTTGCTCTTCTTTTTTGCTTCGGTGTCGTGTGCAACTAAAAACAATATTCAAATGTTTAAATCTCTATCTTTCAGATAATTCACATAAACATAAAAGTATAAGTTTATAAATTAAACGAATACCTCGGTGTAAGGAGGGCACAAATACTGTGATGGTTTTCGAGTCCTCGGTTTATCGGGTGTAACTTCTTTGCCATCAACACCATAATCATCATAATAATCTACATTTCCCGTAATTATTACTTCATCTTCGTCCGACACCTAATTTAATAAACAATAATCTCTAATTAAAAAAATGTTTCAATCTACTAAAAACAAAATAAAAATAAATGTAAGTATAAGAACCTCTTTAGCTTCATTATAATCATTTACATCAAACACATCATCATCAAATTTGTTCCCCGCATTGTCATTCCTCTCCTCCAACTCCTACATTAAAAATAAAACATTATACTTATTAACGAAAGACACATTAAAAATTAATTATTAAAATCGTAAAGGTAATATCTATAACATCCTTGTCGTCTTCAATATCACCAAAAATATTTTCAATTGTATTATTTTTATTCATCACTTCATCTTGTATAACCTACATTTTCAAATATAAAATATGAACACAAATATTCATATATGTTAATAAAATTAAAAAAAATAATGTAGCGTGTAACTAACCCGTTCATCAAATTTTGTTTGGAATAGTGCAGGCTCCTCAAAACTGATGTCATTCCAAAATTCTTCATTATTCACTTCTTCAACAAAAACCTCTCTAGGTTCTCGGTTCATAAACACATGCTGCTCCAGTGCATGTAGCCGTTTCAACACCTCGTCTAGGTTGTGTTTCCCACTGTCCCTACCTCTACCATGAGAGCGACCACTGGACGACATACTAGACGAAGATTCGTCTTGTCTCCTAAAATGGTCCCGTACTGGGGATGGAACTGATTTCCGTTCACCATATACATACTCTTGAAATGACATATAATAACAAGATGTCATCTCACCATCACTCGGTAACATGTTTTGTCTTGGTGGTTGTCCCTCCTAAAAAATTTAACATATTAAAAATACATATAAAAGTATAATAATGAAGATTATTAATAATAAAAAAAATATTTATAAATCTGTATCTTTGAAAAAATCTTGTTCACATCAACCCATTTCAATTTTTTTGTCCCACTCCATCGTTTCATCCGAGGCATGTCTCTATTTTTTCTCAATACAAATCCACATGCACGAACAGCCGGAAGCATCTCATATATCCATATCTACAATTTTTACAATTATAGTAATAAAAGTTAAAATTAAAATAAAAAACATAACAATAAAACAATTTAAATATAAGTAAATTTTTATATACCCTTATTGGAGCCGTAAATCCCGAGACGGAGTATTTTAAAGTTTGACGACACTCAGGAAGTGATAAATATTTATTTATCTTGTTCCATGTATCCTCAAGGTCATCATACGTAAAATCCCATAGATAGCTACCTCAAGCGAAACTAACAAAACAAAAAAAAGAAATTAGTTATAATATAAATTAACATTAATAATATAAAACTTTCAACGTAAACAAAATATACCTGTTCCAGACATCCAAATTCTCAGCAAAAAAAAAACCAATCTTGTGGCACCCGATCATTTATTTCTTTTCCCAAAAAACCTTCACACAAAATGTATATCAAACATACTCTAACTGCATCGGCGTCGTCAACTTCTAAGAATGGTTGATTTAAAATAAAACTTTTCAGGTCGCCGATTTTCACCGAACTATTTGTATAGTTCGGAAATAGCCGCTCACGCAATAAACATCTTTTTTTATCAGTTACTATTTTTTCTGACACTTTTTTCCCGATGTTTTTTGGATACTCCCCAAAATTGAAGCCGGTTATCAAACAAAACTCTTCCGGCCCATATACCATTTTCGTATCGCCTACTCTAAAATATAACCGTTTTATTCCATCTGGAGATAAAACAGCGTCCGGCCGGATCTGATGAAGGAACATTTTATGGAACAACAATCTGTCCCCTTGTAAACGAGGGACATCCAACAAATAACCAAATACGGTATCTCTAAATATGTCACGCCTAACACCATCTAACACTTCAAATACTTCCCATATATTACACCCGAGCCTTTTAAGTTTACAATTGCTTTCACATTGAAATAATTAAAATCATGCTGCACAAAACACAAAAACATATTAGAGAACTAAACAAATATTTCGTTTTAAAATATATGATTATTAAGTGCAATAATAACAATGCAAATACAAATATTTAATAAATAATTTATATATTTACGATAAAAAACAATAACATACACATAGTATAACAATTTTTCAACTTAAACAACAAATATATAAACAATTTTCCAAGTTATACGACAAATATACAAACAATTTTTATCTTTCTAATTATATAAAATAACGTTTTCTAACCATATAAACAAACAATTTTTCAAATAAAACAACAACTAAATTAACAATTTTCCAAGTTATACGACAAATATATACAAATTTTCAACTTATACGACAAATACAAACAATTTCTAACGATACTATAAAAATTTTTATACTTCAAAAACAAATATATACAAATTTTCAACTTATACGACAAATATATATACAAACGACTATTGTACACATACTGTAATTTAATCATTTTTTCAATTTATAAAAACAATTACACGATAAGAATATACAATTTTTCAAGTTATACAACAACTATACAAACGACAAATAACATATTGTAAACATTATTCTAACAATTTATTTAACTAATAACTTAAAAAAATGAGCATATTCTAACCATTTTACTAAATGTACAACCACCCGATGCACACTCTACGCAGTCTCTACTTGTACATTCATACAACCACTAACAAAATAGCATTTAAACTTCAAGTTTACTAATAACAAATATTAAAACTATCAAATACAATAAAATTACCCTTTCACAAACATTATAATTTCTTTTTTTTTACACTAACTAATACAATAAATAATAAAATAATAAAGACATATACTAAATAAATGTTAATTACAACATTAAAAGAGTTAAAATCTAACAATATTTGCGGGATTGTTGAAATAATCTTCCGTTTTCTTCAAAAAATCGTCAAAAGAAATCCCCAAGAGAGAGAGTTTTTCTGTAATGAAGAGTGAAAAATGAAGAAAAAAAAACCTTATATAAGAAAATCGGCATAAAATCGCAGATGGCTACAGTAAATCGCAGATGGAAAGCCCAAATCGCAGATGGGGCTATTCCATCTGCGAAATCAGTGGCCAAATTTGTAATTTCGATTTTTTTTGGCTAAATTTGTAATGTAATTAGTGTAATTGGCTAAATTTGTCATTTTCTCTATTTTTAATTTGTGAATGTAATCGGTAATCGTAGGCAGCTTAGCTATATCCTCCATCTTGTCTTTGTTTCCTTCATAGTATAATACATTTATTGGGATGATCTTTTAGGTGAATGGAACATGGCACGCATGGCAGACCCTCTGTTTTTTTATGTTTCTACAATAAATTTGCGGCAGTGGAATTTGGATTTGAATTTCCTGCCATCTTTTTTTTTTTTTTTTTTTTTTTTTTTTTTTTCTCTTGGCAAATCTACACTACTCCTAGTACCACGTATGTCTCCACAATGAGACTGAACCCTCAACCTCTAGAGGGCAACACCGGTACCGCTGGGCTAGAAAGCCCTTTGGTTGCCATCTTGTCTTGTGTTGGTGAGTTATAATTAATGATGCATTAATTAGACCTTACCTTGCTTTTAAATAGACTGAAGATCGTGCATATGCAGCATGCTTTATATGTCACGGCCATTAACGGAATAAACAAAGCGGAAGAACTTCCTCTTGATGAATGGCGAAGGCAATTCTTTTGTTGTATGTTTCGTTTCTTTTCTTTTTCAAGATTCTGAGTTTTTCGATATGTATTTGTGAAGAATAACTCAACGAGATTGTTTGATCTTATCCTGCAGTGAATAGTACTCTTGAGGAAATAGCCAAACAAATGGGGAAACATGACTTTGATTTTAGCCTAAACCCATGCGATGTAAATCCCAACTGGACTAGTGAAATGCATCTGTATAAGTATAACATCACTGTTGTCTATGTTTGTTCATACCCTGGTGGTGTTTGTCATGTCGTTTCCATGTAAGTTCTATGATTTCATTTTTATTTAATTTTGTAGAGGCTTAATTAGCAAACGTGTAATTTTTGTATAAAGATAAAATTGAAGTGACCAAATCTTGCTTTATATATAAACAGATCTCTCAAAGGACAGGATCTTGACAGTGTTCTTCCATCGTCTCTAGCAAAGTTACTTTACATAAGTGATTTAAATGGAAATAGTTCTCAGTTTCCAAACCTAAGTAGCATGACAAGCATGGAACTATTGTAAGTCATCATACGGTTTAGAAATCTGTTAAAAAGTTGATAAATTTCAAGATTGGATTTTTATATCTTCAAGAACTTTGGGCGAAATTGCAGGATATTGAGAAGCTGGAGGATATCTGATTCTATATCAGAAATGTCCAAATTAAGGCATCTGTAATAATTCTCCCTCTTCCGTTTCTTGATTAAATGAAGCCTATTTTAGACTATATCCATTAGCATCATCTTTAGCATTTCTTTGTGATTATCTTTAGTGGTTGTTCAAACATCCTGATATACTCTTTCTCCATCTATATTCACTCACAGAGATCTCAGTTTCAACAATTTGGAAGGTGATATACCATATCTAAAAGGACTAGATCTGGAGAAAATGTAAGCTTATACCCACATGTGTTTTTTAGATTGAATGTTTTTTATTTATTTATTTCATGGCATAAGCACCTAGTTAATTCCGATCTTTGATTCAATGCAGAGACCTTAGGAAGTGTCTGGTATGTTATTGTTCCTATTTAAATCTTTCGTTTTACTGCTAATTAAATTTATAATGACATTGTTGTTATTTACTATTTAGACCTGAATCCTCCAATTGGTGACAAAAGCAAGAAAACTATTGTCATTGAATTGTTGTGGTGGCTGGAAATGTGTTCCTCATTCTCATAATTCTTGGTGTTGCACGGCTGGGGTTTTATTATATACACGAGAGCACATGAAGAGGGAAAGAGGTTTGATTCCATTATTACTCGGTATAAGAAAAACTATCCCATTCAAAAATATGGTTATCATATAAGTTACAATTTTGAAATTTTGTGGTAACCCCTTGATATTACCATATATAGATATCTTAGTATTTTTAGTGATATTTTAGTCATAACTGAAGATATTGGATACTTATAATGTCTAAATCTTATTTTCTAGTAGCAAAGACATGCATGGGAGAAAATGAGCTGAAATGTTATGCTGGAAGTTGGAGAACCGGATACATTCATCAAAGAGAAAAAATCAACTACAGAGAACACCACGGCGCGATAACACCTTTGCCATGGCACGGTGATGTGTCATGATTGATATGAATACCGGATAGAGTCCAATAATGATTACTTGGAAGGTATGCGAAGCACTCGCCACCACGACGTGATAATCACCTCACCACAATGTGATGGTGTGTATTTTGGAAACTCTATAAATACGAACCTCATTCATTATCTGAAGGATATACAACGATTATTATTCGAACTTTGAAGACCAAAGAACCCTCAAAAACCCTTTGGAGACTAGAGATCGATATTGGATCAAGATTCGAAGAGATCGATATTGGAGCAAGTTTCGAAGAGATCGAGAGTTAATTGCATTTAATCATGTTTAACAGAGTTTATTTTGTTTTTATCTATGTTTCTACTTTAGTTATGTGCTGAAACCTCTTTACTTTTGTTTATAGTAGATAAACCTCAAGACTCTGTGTTGATTTCAATGATTTTTGATCTAATTTAGTTTGGTTATTATTTATGTTTGATTGATCATTTACTTTTTAGTATGGGTGTTAACTAATTCTATGATCATTGTGTTAGTTATTCATTAATTATTAGTACTAGGAAATCCGATTAAGATAACTAGTCATTATAAAATTCGGCAACCAACTTATAAATCCATTGCACTGTAACGAAATCAACCATATGGGAAATGTGAATGGAATCTAAACGAAAGTACTATTTATATTCTACTTTAATTCATTATCTGTTTAGTTTAAATAATTGTTTGCTATAAGATTATTGAAAGTTGATGTTAGAAGTTTATGAACTTTAAAATCAGAAAACCCCATCTTTTATAGTATTTTCTAGTTTAATTAGTAGTATATGTTTTTATTGTGGAATCATATTTGTTCTCCAAGTTTTCGACAACCTTTTCTTACCTTAAACTATATTATTTCGCGACTAGGTACACTGCTTATTTCTACTTAAATCTGGTTAAGATTCAATAGGACTTGTAAATATAAATCTAGTATATAAAAAAACACATCACCCCTCTACCCTAAAATGCACAACCAGATAGATAAGTATGTAGTTTGTAAGATAACATTGATTGTATCCCTGTAGATTTGAGAGGATTTGATTGGCAGATGAATCTATTCACCTATAGAAAAAACAAGAGCGGGCACATACGACTTTTCAGATTCAAAATAAACTTAGGGATGACTGTTTTGGTTCTGTCTATAAAGTAAACTTGGGTTGCCCAAGCTATACCTAGTGAGCCACGAAGGTGATGATTATAAAATGTGATTTTAGAAAATATTTAAAATAGGCAGGTGTTGTAAATGTTTAATTATCAGAAAAGCTTATGCATTGAAGAAGATTTCTAAAATAATTTTTTTATTGACCCGCTTGTTATTTCTGGTAATGATGTTATCAACATGTTTAGTGTTCTCTCCAAAGGTGCACTCACCGACTTTGTGAGAGGAGTCTCAACATCGATAGCATACCCTGATTCCAAATTTTTTTCTTTAGAATTAGTACTTTGACTTCTTTTAACATTCGGCTTCCGATAAGTGGAACCATGTTCATTTAATTTAAAAACCCTTTCTTTTGTTCTAAAACTAGGTATGTTATTAATAGTGTAATGAAATGAAACATGTAACGCCAGTGTTTAGGTAATTTCCATGCTAGCTATATTTCTTAAAAGTTGGCAAAATTGGTCCTTACGATGGGTGTACGAGTCTGGTACGCCGGGCGTAGGACTTTGCATGTGATCATGGAAGTCTCTTACGTACACTGGGCGTATGTGTACGTACGTTGGGCGTAAGCAAACAGGGGACAAACCCTAGTTTTTAGGGTTTGGACCATATTTAAAGATCTTATGGCCTCTAACCCTTCTTACCTCTCAACCTATATCTCTCTTAGCCTCTATTTCGAACCCTAATCCTTGTGTGTGAAGTTTTGAAGCGTTGAGCATAACTTTTGGTGTCCTTGGTCGTGAAGGAAGATCCTAGGAGTTGTGGTATTGCTCTCAAGCTTGTTGGATCTAGAATCTCCTCATCTTGGTGTATCTTCTGGAGGTATAAATTTCATACCTTAGATATTTTCTTGTTAGATCTTGTTCAAGTCTAGTTTTGTGCTCTTTTGGTCCCAAGACTTTGATCTTTGTGAGTATGGAGTACTCCATAGTTTTTAGGTTGTATTTTCAGACGTTTTAGGGTGTGGTATGTCATAAAATGCAAACTTGGACCTTGTTATCCTTCCATGCAAGAGTTATGGAGTCTTAGATGACTAAAGGAGTTAGGGTTTTTGTTGGGCTCTTTGTATCCATGAAAAAGCATAAAGATTGCAACTTTATAGCTTATTACGTTTTATTAGACTTGGATCTGAAGTTTGGACGTTAGATCTTAAGGCACTAAGACCTTAATAGAAGGTTTTGGATTATGATACGCACGACGGGCGTAATTTTAAGTATGTCGTGCGTACTGCATCTTGGCCCCATAATCCCTCCCACATCAGAGGCTTGTACGCGGGGCAAACAAGATAGTACGTGGGGCGTACTACCATGTGTAACAACTGATTAATTCAGGTCAATAAAAGTCAAGGAAAATTAAACAAAAGTCAATTGTGCAAACAAAAGTCAATAGTTAAAAATTAAATCAAATAAATAAGTCTTATGCATAAAAATATCATTCTTGCTTTTGAGGATTTGGGTTTTAGGAATCAAAAATCAAAACCCCACATACCATGACCGAGAACCCTCTTGGCCGAGAACATGAGTGGCCGAAATCTCAAACCTTAGACCGAAAACACTCAAGGCCGAAATCTCTCCTATGACCGAGAATCACTTGGACCGAAAACCCCTTGGACTGAGATCCTTTAGAAGGAAGACCTTGATTTCGGTTGGAGCCTTGGACCGAAATCATGTGATTTCGGTAAAGATAAGCCGAAAACACCCAACTTATCCGATGACACTCTTTTCAATGTGATAAAATACACACACACACACACACACACATATATATATATATATATATATATATATATATATATATATATATATATATATAACCGAAATCAATCCCCATTTCCCTCATTTACGTCCCAAACTCTCCTTATTTTTCTCTCAAAGTTCATAAGAACTTCTTCAAATCTTCAAACTTACCCAAGAACATCTTCAAATATTCATATCTTCGCCCAGAACACTTTCAAACTTGCCTAGGAAACAATTCTTCAATATTAATTCATAGGAATCTTTGTAAGTTTTCTTACATAATCTAGTGTTTATGTAACACTTTAATGAAAGTTTATCTAATCTGCACATATATTACGTGTTTAAAACAAATTAGGATACGACTATATTCACGTATTCTAACTCAAAGAACATCACCATTCACATCGTTATCTAGCCTAGAACACACTCAAGGTGAGTTCATACCCCTACAGTTTTCACGATTTTTCCATGTTTTAGGGGGGGGGGGGGGGATACAAGTAAAACACAAGAAAACTTGTGTTAAAATACGAACTGTTACATTGATATTTTCACGAAACATATATATACATATGGATACAAATTTGATTACAATAAAACTTTAACCCTTTTGTAACATGTTGAGCAAAAATGGTATAATTATATAAACATACATATATAATTATTTCATTTCATTTTATTATCACGGTAAATTGATAATAGCATACAAAGGATTCACTATTTCAATGAAACATTTATATAAACTATAATAGGTATAGTTTATGGAACATACACACTATTTTACCCTGTTGGGGACATAGAAATAATTATTTAAAAGAACAATTATTTTCACACTATGTGAACACTATGTGAACACTATGAAGGGGTAATGCATACATTTACAAGAAAAAGGGATTTTCATTACACGATACGTAAACCGTTAATATGGCTTTGTGAGACACTATCTTCACAGTACTATCAGAGTACACACTAAAAGTCTTGTATTATAACCAGAATCTCCCGTAAGAGAGCATGACACTTGTGTATAGATCTATACAGTACTGACAATCCTGCACCTAAACTGTTAGCTACAGTTAGACCGGCATGTCTGGGGTGTCAAATGTCGTACCATTCCGACGTCTGAAGAACGTCGTAACAGGCCACTAGTCACTAGTAGCTAACATGGTTATAATAACTCACAATTGGGTATTAACAATACGTTTAGTTTACGAATACATACATACCTTCAGCTTGTTTTATTTAACGATAAAACTACATTACACGATAGTTCACATTCTGGAAACATACATTCAAAGGGTTTTACACAGATACAACTACAAAACATTATTTTCCGGTACAATACAGTTTACATTTCTGGAAACATGCATTCAAATGGTTTTATATATGTATATAACTACACATTACTATTTTAAGTATGAAAAATACTTGTACATTTCGGTCTTGGAACATTTAAGACTACATTACATATAAAAGAAAATATTGGATTTTCTGGAAGAACACACTATTATTTTCAAGGAATAAAGACATATATTTCTCATACAAAACACTTATCAACTCACCAACTTAATTGTTAACACTTTTTCTAAACTACTTGTATTCTCAGGAAATCACTAAGACAGGTAACAACAAACTTTTGAAGATGAGACGCTAAGACGTCATTTAAGTCTTATATCATCATATTGTAATTGATTTTTGAAACATGTAACACATACAAACAATGTAACATTACCAATTATATTTATGATGGTTGTGTTTGCTTTTATCTCTATTATTTAATTATTATGATACTGTTCATGACGTCATCCGCCCCCAGACGTTTCCGTCGTCTGGTTCGGGGGTGTGACACCATGATTCAGCTGTGGGGCCGTTTAAGGCCTTGGGCCATTAGGAACTTTGGGCTTTGATTAATGGATTAGGAATGGGTATGGCAAAATGGTCTTTTTCCCTCAATATGATGAATGGTGAATTGGACGATTGATTATGTGTTAAAACTAGAATTATTAATTAGGGTCGTTATGCTTAGTGTGCGGAGCCGTGTTCGCAGTAGCTCGAGTGTACGATTCAGTTATCTTCAGTTAGAGGTGAGTCTTCTTACCACTTAGTGGGTCGAAGGCACCAAGGCCGACCCATTGTATCGTATGTGTAGAATGTATGCTATTGTATGGATTTTATTGTTGTCATTATATGATGTATACATGGAGACAATCTGGGCTTGGAATCATTATGGGCTCGAGGTTAATACATACCCAGGGGTTGATGCGGAACCGACACAGCCAACTGCTGTGAATTGGGGTTGATACAGACCCAAGGGTTGATACGGACCTGACATAGCCTCGTGCTGTTATATTATGTATGATGTATGTGATATTTTGGGAAAGCTCACTAAGCTTTGTGATTACAGTTATGTTTTGGTTTCGAGTACTTCCGGTACTAAAGGGAAGGGCCGAACATGATGGCACCGCATCCTCGCCCTCACGATTTCCGCA